AGACCCAAAGACAAAAATCACAAAATCATCTCAATAGATGCAGAAAAAGCATCTTGCAAAGCGCAACACCCTTTCATGATAAAAACAGTACAGAAAATTAGAATAGATGGTGTTTATCTCAGTCTGATAAGAGTCTTCCATGACCAACCAACAGCCAACATCACACCAAATGGACAAAAACTGAAAGCTTTTCCTCTAAAATCAGGAATAAGACAAGGACGTCTACTATCACTAATTCCACTCAATATACTTTTGGAAACATTAGCCAGACCAGTTAGACAAGACAAAGAAATAAAAGGAACAATGATAGAAAAGGAAGAAGTTAAATTATCATTATTTGCAGATGACATGATACTCTACACAGAAGACTGCAAAAACTCCTCCAAATGACTTGTAGATTTAGTAACAAAATTCAGAACTGGATACAAAGTCAACAGCCAAAACTCAAGAGCATTCTTGTACACAAACAACAAACTCACTGAGAGAGAAATTAGGGAAACCATGCCTTTTACAATAGCATTCAAAAAAAAAAAAAAAAAAGAAATTCTTAGTAATCAATTTAATAAAGGAAGTAAAAGATCTATACATTGAAAAACTACAGTACTCTGAAAAAGGAGATAGAAGAGGACATCAGAAAATGGAAAGTGAGCAATTGATCTAAAGACAACAATATACAATGTAACAATCATTGGTGAATTCCTACCATCTTGTCTAGTGAAACTCTGTATTGTCTCTAACATTTTAAAAAATCATTGTTTTTCTTTCTCTTTAATGGTTTCATCAATCTTGCATTCTTACATCTGGTAATCTGAACAACTTCGCTAAAGATAACAATATGTAATATAACAACCACTGTCAATTCCTATCATTTTGTTTTGAAACCCTGTATCATTTTTCATGTTTTTGCTTTGTTTTGTTTTTGTCTGTGATGCTGGTATTTTGCTACTATTCTTTTTTTTTTTTTTTTTTACTGTTCTCTTTAAAATAAAAGAAAAAACGAAGAGAATGGAAGGATATCCTTTGCTCATGGATAGGAAGAACCAACGTAGTGAAAATGGCCATACTCCCAAAATTGTTATACAAATTTAATGCAATCCCAATCAAAATACCATTAGCATACCTCACAGAACTAGAGAAAACATTTCTAAAGTACACTTGGAAGCAGAGGAAACCTAGAACAGCAAAAACAATTCTTGGCAACGAAGGCAAGGCAGGAGGCATCATAATCCCTGATGTGAAATTACACTACAAAGCTACTGTGATAAAAACAGCATGGTACTAGAAAGAAAAGGTCCACAGATCAATGGAACAGATTAGAAGATGCAGAGAAAACTCCAAGCACACTCAGCCACCTTATCTTTGACAAAGGGTCCAAACACATTCTGGTGGAAAGATAGCCATTTTAATAAGTGGTACTGGAAAAACTGGCTTTCCTCATGCCAAAAATTAAAACTATACTCATGTCTATCACCATGTACAGTTAACTAACACCAAAATGGACCTAAATATTAAAACAGAAACACTAAATCTGTTGGAGGACAGAATAGGCAGAACTCTTGAAGACCTGGGTGTAGGGAAAGATTTCATGAACAAAACCTTGATTGCACAGGAAATACAAAGAATCAATAATTGGGATCTCCTCCTATTGAAAAGCTTTTGCACAGCAAAGGAAATCACCAATAGAGTGAAAAGACAACCCACCAAGTGGCAAAAAATTTTAGCCAGCTGTCCTTCAGACAAAGAATATCTAGAATATACAAAGAATTGAAAAAATTAGACCCTCCAAATTTAAAGACTCAATCCAAAAATAAGCATCTGAGATGAATACATACTTCTCAAAGGAAGAAATACAAATGGCAAATAATCATATGAAAAATGTTCAACATCAATGTTCCTTCAAGAGATGGAAATTAAAACAACTGAGATTCTTTCATCTCCAGAAAGAATGGCCATCACCAAGAAAACCAATAAATACTGGTGGGGCTGTGGGGAGGAAGGAACACTTCTCCACTGCTGCTGGGAATATAGACTGGTACAACCACTATGGAAATCAGTGTGAAGATTCCTCAAATATCTAGGATTAGAGGTCCCATTTGATCCACTATTCCCCTTCTGGGTATCTTCCCAGAAGGATGAAAAGCATCATACCCCAGCGATATATGCATACCTATGTTCATAATAACAGTTTGTAATACCTAAATCTTGGAAATAACCCAAATGCCCATTAACTGAGGAATGGATGAAAAAGATGTGTGGCTTTTTTTTTAATATAACCGAGTATTACTTAGCCATAAAGAAGCATAAACTTGAGACATTTCTAGGTACATGGATGTATCTTAAAACCATACTCTTAAGTGAAATAAATTGGACACATGTGAAAATACTGCATTGTCTACCTGGTGGGAAACTGAAAGAATAAATAAGGCCCAAAATATACAATAGACATTGTGAAATTCAAAGAAACTGTTCAAAAGGAAAGAGGAACTAGAAAGGAAGGAAAAGAAAAAAATGATAAAAGGATAAAATGGAAATGGAGCTTTGTAAAAAAAAAGAGGAATCAAGATATAGCACACACAGGTATAAATTCCCTATGATGAATATGATCATTATGTATATCCAAACTACCAATAAGCTTAAAAAAAAAAAACCAAGGTGATGAGGTCAGTAAAATATATGAATAAATAACCAAGTACAGAATTATTCATATAATTCTCTCATTCTTTAGAGATGTTCCTAATCCAGAAATCTAAAGTGATCAATGTTTTTGTCTTACACATCACTGCTTCCAGTGAAGTCTTGAAAGTCTTTCACTATTCAAACCATGTAGACACCTTAAAAATTGAGATAAATTCTATAATGTAAATATACTACAAAACTCTACCTGGTTCTAGGATAAAAACACAAAACCAATTATCCAGAGGGCATATTTATGTAGTACGTTTTAAAAAAGGAAACACGGATGGATGCCCCCATTAGTCATGGCTCCATAATGCTCAAGCCTGGTGTTATTACATTGGCATAATAATTGAAATTGCAAATATGAGGTGGTTGCCTTGTTAATTCCAACTGTGTCACAACAGTAATCCTCACTGAGAGGTGAAAAATCATATAGGACTTTAAAGTTGGGTGTGGCGGTGCATGCCTGAAATCCCAGCACTCGAGAGGCTGAGGCAGAGGATCACCATGAATTAAGAGGCCAGCCTGGGCTACATAGTGAGTTCAAAGCTAGCCTGTACTACACAGTGAGATCTTATCTCCAAAGAAAAAAAAAAACTTTCAGACTTTTTCCTCACCCTTATACAACAGTGTGTTAAATCTTGAAAAAAAGGTTTCGGTTCAATTAAAACTTTTACTTTGAGAACCACTAACAATTCTGCCAAGCTTGCCTCATATCAATCTAATTATAAATGAAAAGGTTAAATTCAGAAATTGTTAAAGTACAGTAATTTGAAATGTGTAAAAGCCAAATTGATACTTTTTGTTTATCACATGCCTAATACATGTCTGGCAGTCAAATGTTATTGCACAATGTCATGGTAAGCACAATGGTGTGAGATATAGTTCAAGTGAGCTCAACACGTTGCCCTCCCAACTTTGAGGTTATATATATTAAAATAAATTAGTGAGGAAATGCCTTACTATTGACAGCCTATTCTCTTTTAAAATTCTTTACTAGATATGCATTGTTCTTAACACACTTAAGTGAGAGAATTGAAAAAACCATAAAATTTAGTGCTATAATTTTTGTAGTAGTGCCCCTTGAGTCATACCTATATAGTTTTAATTTACAAATGAATAGGCCTGGCATATAGTTCAGTGGTAGAATGCTTGCTTAGCATGCTCACAGCATGAGGGTCAATCTCTAACACTGCAAAAATTTTTTAAAAAAGTTTTTGTATACCTCCTTCACCATTTCCTTGTTAAATTCTAGTTTCCACTAAAAACCTAGAAAGATTACACAAAATGGAAAAAAAACCAAGCACAATGTACATTCTGTTATAATTTTTATATTAAAAAAACCCCATACAGTAGTTTACATATATGAATGTATCCTTTGGTATTTGGTAGTCAAACTTTATAGTATCTTTTGTAGTCAATAAAAAATAAAATCATGAAAGATAGCTAATAATTCCAGTAAGAATAATATTGTTTTGATGACATAAGGAATGTAAAAGCAAAACATTAAGCTAGTGGAATGAAGATCAAATTTATCCTTTTATCAGAAAAATAAAACTCTTAAATACAAAGTGTTCATTTTACCTTTATCTGATTTTCAACTCTTAATCTAACTTGTACAATGAGAAAAACAGTAATTATAAAAGACAGATTATAAATATCTTACCATACACTCCTTTGTCTAAAAGCAGTAAAAATTCATCCACAGCATTACGCATCTCATATTCGGTTAGATCCAGCAATGAAACAACTTTGAAATCCAGCTGTCTTAACAGGTTGGTCAATTCATACACATCCACCAAGGGAGCTTTAAGCTTGGGGTGTTCCCAGTAATTCATATTTCCTATCAAAAGAGCAACTTTGTCTTTTGCTGTAAAGAAGGGGGGAGAATGTAAAGGAGAATCAAGTTAAAGGAGAATGTAAAAATTAAAACCTATGGAAACAGTATTATACAAAGTGTGCTTTAAGACTGCACTAATTTCAAATTAAGATTTCATTATTATTTTCATTTCAGTCCTATTACTGTATATGGCAGACCGATACACTGAGGAACACATGAGGCTAAAATATCAAATAGCTGAGATTAAATTTATGAATGCTTCAGAACCGGGCAGGTCTTTGTTAGTTGTACATGAAGCATAATGGGGACTAATATCGAAGCACTCTTTCACTGAATTACAAAAAAATTAAAGAATATTCAACTAAACTTTTGGAGCCCATTTCAACAAGAAATATTTATAATTAGGTCCCCATCAAATTAGGTCCTGTTGTGAAAAGAACAGAAGAGGAAAAAACCAAAACAAAAAATAGCTAGAAGAGGGACAGGAACAAGACACATCAAGGCAAGCAAGGGGAAAGGTCTGAGAAACGCTGGAACTCCTCAAGGACTGTGTTGTCCTGCAGTAACTGCTGGGACTATCTTCTTTTAGCTTCTTTTAAAAATATTTCCTACTGGACTGCCTTGAGGCTGCTTGAGGGACACATGAAGACTCTCTGAATGAATGTCCTTTAACAGCTCATTTTCTGAACTTAATGGTGTGAGACTGCTCAAAGATAGTTTTTTTTTTTGTGTGTGTGTGGTGTTACTAAGCATCGTATCCAGTTCAGGGCCTTTATACTGAGCTACATCTATAGTCTTTTTTACTTTTTGAGGCAGGGTCTTCCTAAACTGCCCAGGCTGGCTTCAAACTGTGATCCCGTCTCAGCCTCCCAACTAGCTGGAATTATAGGTGTGACCACCACACCCATCTAAAATAGTAGGTTCTGACAGAAGCAGTGGGGAACAGGGCAAAAGATCTGTACATATGCCTTAGAAAGTATCAGTTAGCTTAAGCCTGCCCTAAATAGCTTACAGCTAAGTACAGCTTAGTGGTGAAGAGGTTCAATGCTATACCTTTCTCTGAAGGTCTGGGATGGGGCCAAAGACAAACCTACTGAGCTGCCAGCCATATAAAAATATAGCATATATAATTACAAATAGGATATAATACTTGATAACATGGATAAACAGTTATGCTACTGGCTTGTATGTTACTTTACAGTTCCCATGGTTATTTTTAAAGGTATTGTTAAAAGTATATGCCTTCCAGTTAATATAAAACATTTACTGTATAACAGTATGCATGTTATACTGGCAGCAGGCTCATACATCTCTTTTTTATTTACTGTGTCTCTTGATTGCACTGGGGCCACAATGAGTAACTGACCTAATGACACATTTCTCAGAAAATATCCTCACTGTTAGGTGACACAGACTGTATCTGGAAAAGAACAATACAGTTTATGGAATGCAAGGGCTGAACAATCTGAAAATTTCTTAAAATGTATTAATTATGAAGCATAATGATAATAACTCTTCTAAAATCTTGCCAGTAATAATTTTTAATAGCTCCTAAAATACCTTAAGATATTTTTTGAATTTAATGTTAAGAATCTTACCTTGCCCAAACTACTGCGTGAAGCAGTTCCTGGATGCCAGGAGAACTGGGGTGGATTTAGAACACAGAAGCAGAAGCTGCAGCTGAAGTAAGAGCTGACACTCATTCCAGGAAAATGGTGTAGAAATGGAAAAGAAGAGTCAGACTTTAGAGACAGGACACAGAAAGAAACAGTAAAATCTGAATGAGAAGATGAGAAGGAAAAACAAAGAGAACTTCAAACAGCATCTATATGAGCAATTTTAGGTAATAAATGAAATTTTTTATAGAAACATTTATTGTAAAAGCCACCCACAGTTTCTTGACCATAAACCATTTATTGGAAAAAGGAAGCAAGGAGCTAGGTGTGTAGCTGAGTGGTGCAGCATGTGTTAACATGCACGACGCCTTTAGTTCAATCTCTGCGCACACACACACACACACACACACAAAGACAAAGCCTGTAGATTATATAAAAGGACAATAACTTTTTTTTGAGACAGGGTCTCGCTCTGCAGTTCAGGCTGGCCTTGAACTCACAGTGATCCTCCTGCCTCAGCCTCCGAAGTGCTGGCTGGGACTACAGGTGTGTGCCATCACGCCCAGCAACAAAAGCCTTTAGAAAGATATTTTAACTACATGATCCTAAGTATCTTCTAGAACTTAGTGCAGTTTGTTCTTCAAAAACTATTACAGAATTATAGCATTCATTCCATATCTAACAATTCTCATTATTATGTTATTTGTCCAAAGTGGGTTATTATTCCCAAGCATTTAGAAAAGGGCCTGGTAGCTATTAAGTGTTATTATGTATTTGTTAAATTAAAATTTTTTTTGGATATTTGTCAACTTTTGAGTATTAGCACCAAATCTGACTGGTTGATTATATACTCCTTGTTATTGTTAAATTTTTAGTTCTAAGTTTTTAAATGACTTCCCATGTTCTACAAAATAAGGTCAAAGTTCCTTGGTTTGGCATACAAAGCCATTTCCACTCTAAGCCTACAAACCAGTGGTGATAAGAGATGGTCCCTAAGGAACCTCTTGCTCTTATATGGCACAGTCAGCTCCAACCCTAACTCTGGCCTTTCTGGGAGTACGATGTGGTATGGCACTGCCAGTTCTGCATCTACCCCGTAAGTCCTGACAGCTTCTACTTTTAGGATCCAGTCATGATGTAGAGAAAGCAGACCAGTCAAGAAGGGAGAAGAAACATGGAGGGAAGTCTTTCAATAAACCTTATTAAGATACCAGGTATGCAAGCAAAGCCACCTTGGACATTGTAGTCCCCATCAATAAATGACAGTAACCACTTAAGAGACTAGCAGAAGAACTATCTGCTGAATCCAGCCAACCCACAGAATCGCGAGTGGTAATAACTGCCTGGAGAGATGGAAACCTCTATAATACCAGTACTAAGAGCTTGAGGCAAAAGGATCACAAGTTTGAGCCTTGCCTGTACAACTCAGAGCCTGTCTCAAAGTACAAAGTTGAAAACAAAAGATGGGGATGTAGCTCAGTGAAAAGGCTCCAAGTTCAATCTGCAGTACTGGGGGAGCGGACACTGGGGCTGTGAAGCTCAATAGGAAGGCCCTAAATTCAATCCCCAGTACTGTAAAAACAAACCAAAATAACAAAAAAATGGATGCTATGTTTCAGCTGGTGCGCTTTTACATTTTGAAATAATGCTATTCACCAACAGACAACTATAGTCCAATGCCCACTAGTCCTTCTATAAGACTCTGCCTCCAGCAGCGGTGACCTGCTTGTTCGTCAACCTCACCATCAAGTACATGCTTGTTCTCACCATGCTTTAGCCCTTCTGCCCCAAAAACCTACCTCAATCTCCCAATTTATCCTTGAAAATCTTCACTTGGGCTTTGCCTCTTTAGCCTTCTCTGATTCTCCTGGACAAATCTGGTCACCATTTTTCTATGAATAACCTCTAAATTTCTTACCTTTTTCTACTATGCCATACACCCATTTTTATTACAGCATGTATCATGTCATGTACTATGCATTTAATACTGGCTTGCAATGCCGCTCATTCAGGAATCAAGGTTTGTTCTCTCGCTTAATAGAGTAGCACAGATGAAGCAGCTGATAAATGTCTGGTGAACTCCATGATGAAAGTTGACCAGATATGCAGTTTATTTTGATATTCTTTCAATAAGGACATGTTTGAGAAAGGACACTTGACATAGCAGAACTAACAAAGCTATGGAACCAGAGAGATCTCAATATCAATCCTGGCTCAAGCACTAAATTATATAATCCTGAGCAAGTTTTATTAAATACAGTCTTAAATTATCATCTACAAAAATTGAAAAAAAAATATATCTCAGGTTGAACTACATATTTCATTTCAGATTTGAATTATACATTTCATTAAGTAAAACTATTTATTAGTATTACAAGTAACTACACTAACATTAATATACTTAGTGTTACGACAAAACCATCTTAAACAATAAACCCAGTTACATTTGGACTTTGTCATTTCGTGTACGTACAGACATACTCTCACCATACAACAGAGAAGACAATAGCTATTGCTTTGTTTAGCACACTATTTTAATAGATCTTTCTTAACAGGTGAGATCTGGGGCTCTAGAGTGGCATGGTTTATATCCAAATGTCCCCCAAGAGCCTCATGTACTCATAAGCGGGGCTTCTCGAAGGAGACTGAATAATGGGGCAATACAGAGGACTTCCTGTGCAGATGGGTTTGGTCAGCAGAGGCAGGTCACTGGGGGTGTGACCTGCAAGGGCGTATCGACCTCTCCAGGCTGCTCTTGCACTCTGTTTTCTGGTCACCATGATGTGAGCTCATTCCTCTGCTATGCCCTGCTGCCATGCCATCCTGTCCTGGAGCCAGTCGACCATAGATTAAAAATGTGAGCCAAAATAGAAACTCTCCCCTTTAAGGTATGGGTGTTGTACACTGTGTCTCAGCAAGGAGAAAATGACTAAGATATAGAGGAAAGGTACTGGAGGTGGAATATATGAAAATTTACCAGTATGAACGAAATATGGCCTTTTTAAAAAAAAAACGGCAATAATCCATAGTCTCATGCGTTCTTCCACATCAGTGGCCTTTCTCTTCACTGTTGCTCAATCCGTGATCAAATTCTGGACCTTGCTGTCATCTAAGCTGCTCCACCTCTGAAATACATTTTCTCTCAGTAACCATAACAACCTCCTATTCTGCAAGTTTTGATATTATGCTTTTTCTTCCAACTTGGTGAACTCTTTTAATCTGCTGATTCCTCGTTTTCTCCCATTTATCAACCTTTTTAAGGCTCTCTTTGCCTATGCAGTCTTCAGCCCTTGATTATTTTCTCCAAATTCCAACTGTTTTGCTCAGTCTGAATATGCCCTGTAAACCTCTGACTACCACAGTGTCTGGCACTAAGACAGGAACAGAAGAATCAGTTCTCAGCCTGCCTTCTCTGTTTTAAAGCTGTGCTTTGCTACAGAACAATCATAGCTGATCTGTATCATTATAAATTCTTAATTTTTAAAAGTTTCAGTTTGACTGTCCATATTCTTTCACTTGTAGATGGCAGTATTCATTTCCTTTAGTCATAAAACCTTTACCACAGGCCAAGTTTGATATTCAGCCTTATACTTTTCCTCAATCCTTTAAGCAAAATAGCTGAGAAAGGAAAACCATTACTGTAATTGAAAATGTCAACTTCCTAACAAATCTGTCTATATATCTCACCAATTTCTTCTTCCTTCTAATTTCAGGGGAAAAGAAGTTTTTCACATTCTGATTAAGCTAATTTCCCCTTTTCCTCTTGGTCCAAACCCTTAATATCTTCACTAGGAACTTGTTCCATAAATTGTCCTCTCTCTGCTGGAACATGTTAACCTCTAACAATCTCAGGAGATCCCTTCTTCCAAATGGAAATAGCCTCATATGTTCCACACATTTCACAGAACTTTGAAGCATGTCCCAGGTAGTTAATCACAGATCACCACTTTTTTCCCAACAAATAAATCTGTATGCTTTGTTTTCACTTGCTTACTTCTGAATCACCCTTAACCCACTAACTTACACATTGGAATCCACATTTGAATCTCAGTGTAACTGTTGTGGTTTGGGGTTTTGCAAGGGGAACAATATAATGCAGGACACATATTTTATATGATTATTTATAATAGTCACCCAAAAAATCATATACAAAAGGACAGTGCAGGAAGTCTGTCCACATACTAAAGACCAAAGAATTCAGCTGAGGGCCTGGATCTCATGGTAATATGCTGCATGAGTTCAGCTGAAGACCTAGAGCCCATAACAATGCCTCCCAGGAGTCCAACTGGAGGCCCAGAGCCCATGACACTGTCTCATGTATGCCTGTTTCATAGATCTGTGCTGGGAAGGCTCAATGGTCAGTGGTGGAAGCCAGAAAGTCTATGCCAGAAAGACAAAGGATCTGTGCTAAATGCTGAGGGATCTGAACTGGAGCCAGGAAGCAATGCTCAAAGAACAGAGCTTTCTCGAAAAGTACCACAGCTCCCCTCAGCAACAGTGAGGTCCTGAGCTCCTCCAATGATCAGGACAGCCAAGTTCCCATTAGGAAAGCCAATGCGACAAGCTTCTCCAGGAGACTGAGCAGTGCACCATCTTCCTCTCCAGAGCCAGGAAGCGATGCTCAAAGTGAGGGCCAGAGCTCCCCCAAAGTGAACTGTAGCCATTCTCTGTAACAATGAGGTCCTGAGCTCCTCCTCCAATGAGAATATCTGAGTTTATCAGGAAAGCCAGCATGACAAACTCCCCCAGGAAAACCAACAGCTCCCTACAACTTCCCAACAGCTTTCAACAGCTTCCAGCAGGCTCCCAACAGCCTCTCCACAGCTTCCTTCATTTTGCTTCTTATGCTGCCAGTAACCATCCTCAGGTGAACCTCCCACACCCAGCACCATGCTGGTTCAGTTCAGCTGGGTGTTACAAATTGACCACCAGTTGTCAATCCACCACAATAACTTAGTAACTGACTTTTAACATTTCACCAAAGTCATCAAATCACTTCTTTAGTAGCTACACCCAGTGGATAAGTTTGTGAAATTATTTTACCAACTTCTGCTGGAATCAAGGTGTCAATTACTTCTACTCTCTTTAAATGTTAATCTGGTAAAATTTTATGGTATGAATTTCTTAGATCTTCTGTTTCCTTGGTTTTCTCACATATCTTTTCTCCAGGGCATTCTTTAAATGCAACTATTTATTTCCTTCTTGTCCTAAATCCTCCTCTTCCTACTGAAGATGGGAAAGCAAACTCTAAAGCTTACTGCAATCTCTGTGGTGCTTTCCTAATCTCTACTCTACCAAGAGGTAGTGTAAATCACTTTTTCTTCTCTTGCACCTATGCAACATACACATCTTTTTGTTTATGTGTTTATTTACATGTTGCCAGAACCCAAAATCACTCCACAGAAGTTAACTTGGCCCCAGAAATGGAATTTGTAATCTTTTTTTTAGTGGTACTGGGGACTGGACACAGGGCCTTGCTGCATGCCAAGAAAGTGCCCCACAACACAGCACACTCCAGCCCTTTCTAAATGTTTGAGACAGGGTCTTGCTAAGTTGCCCAGGCTCGTCTTAAACTTGAGATTCTCCTGCGTCAGCCTCCCCAGTAGCTGGGATTACATGGATGTGCCATCACACCCAGGTAATCTGTAATCATTTCTAAGCCTCTTCTTCTATAATTTCTTTTATAAATATCAAATATAAAATTTGGTCCCAATGTTATTCAAAGGTTTATAAATGCAATCGAATTAAAAAAGCTGAAATCCCTTCATGGTCATCATAAAATAGAGTTAAATACCATAATTGTATGTAATTATGCATTTTAAATTCTACTCACCCAAAGATTGGTCAGTTGTTTGCTCTTTATTGTCTATACCAAGATAAAAAAAAGATGTTATTAAAAATATTTTGAGAGCTAAAGATATAAGAAAAGCAATGAATAAAAATATCATCAGCATCATTAAAGTACAGTAGAAGGGCAGGGACTAGAGACTGGAAAGGGAAGCAGGAGTGCAGAGAAGGCAGACAATGGGCACTAAAACACAGAGGCAGAAAGCAGTTCTAATGCTACTTAGCACAACATGGCAACTATAGACTCCCACAACTAAAATTCACAATAATGGGAGGGTTTGAAGGTTCCCCAAACATGGAAGACATAATACTGAGGAGATGGCTATGCTAATTATCCCCATATGATCTTTACACATTGTATACATGTATCAGATAACAACACCACACTCCATGAATAGGTACAAATGTATGTCAATTAAAAAATTTAAAAGGAAAAATATATAATACAGATGCCAATAATTAACTTACAATTTTAAGATTTTCAGATTTTTAAAAATAAAAACATACAAGGACAGAGGATTGGAATCAAGGTGAGGTAATAACTTTGGTAACTGACCAACATGGGGTAATAATCTTTAACATTCTAGTAGCAAGTACAATCCAAAAACAGTGATGATACTCAGAGTAAGTAGCAGCAGCTGTTGTTGATGCTTACAGACACGCTACATGGCACTACTCTACATCCTTTCTATCAGATTTAATTAAACCTCACTCCACCCTACCAGATAAAGAAGCTGAGGCAGAGAGTGGTTAAGCCATTTGTCCAAAATTCTCTTTTTTCATCTTTTTGAGACAGGGTGTCGCTATGCAGTTCAGGCTGGCCTGGAGCTCACTTTGTAGCCCTGGCTGACCTCAAACTCGCAACCATCCTCCTGCCTCAGCCTCCCAAGTGCTGGGATTACAGGCGTGCACCATCATGTCCGGCTTGTCCAAAATTCTTAAGGTAGTAATAGCAAATCTGGAGTCTAACTTAAGGAGTCTCATTCCAGATTCTATGTTTTCTGTTTATCTTTCCCCTTTGCGATATGTGGGGTTGAATCCAGGGCCTTCACAGTGAACTACATTGGTAGCCTTTATCTGAGACAGGGTCTCACGGAGTCACTAAGTTGCTCGGCTTGAACTTGGAATTCTCCTGTCTATGCTTCACCATTACTCTACATAATACAAAAGCCTTCTTACCCTCATGCACCACCAGGAAGAGATGCAAGGAAACAGCAGTCCACGGTATGCCCAGTATTACAGAGAGGGTAATTCTGTTTGCATGTTTAGTAACATAAATAGGCTATGGGAATCGATCACATAGATTCCCCACATATCACTTTTTTGCAAATTCAATTTCTGATATTTCTGAATCTTGAGGAGTAAGGAAAAAGGGGCCAGGAAATTTTAGAAGCTTAGAGGTGGATATATGCAAATTTTTTTGTGAAGTGACTTTAAAAGGTTTGTTAAAGAAGGGCAAGAAGTAACTAATTTAGGAAAAGGGATTCCATTCAGACCTAGAGACACAATTACTAGGATGGTTCAACAGTATGCAGTACTGGACGCTTGAAGCACTGAGGCTTTGTATGAATTCCAGGACACTCCAGCAAGGACAATGACATGTTGGTAATGGTGACTTTTTGTTTTCTTTAATTTACTTATATATAATCAGTACAGACCAAACAGCACTTGCAATAGCAGATGTTTATTAACCAAACATGAAACCAGGCAAACTGGGGCTAGAGGTGTAGTTCATGGTACATGCTAGTATATATAAGGCTCTGGGTTCAATCCCAGAACTGGAAAAAAAAAAAAAAAAAAAGAAAAAGGAAGAAAAGAAAGAAGGAAAGGACAAGAGAAAAAAAAAGAACCTAAGCAAACTAATTATGGCGCTAAAATAATAATGAGATATAGCAAGGCTTTCTACAAATATTACGTAAGTGTCTTGTTAACATATTCTTTTCTTGCAGGCATTGTACCATGAGCTATATCCCTGGCCCCTTCTTATCTCTCTCTTTTTTTTTGGTACTGAACTCGAACTCAGGCCCTTGAGCTTCCAAGGCAGGTGCTTGTGCCTCTGAGCTATATCCCTGATACCCTCTATATTCTTATATAAAATTTTATTTTCAAATTTATTCACAGGTTCTATCACAGTTTTTCACAACGCCCACAAACATCATATTGATGTCTTCTGTCTGTACATATCCCTCACTACTGATATCCCTCTTATCTCACTTGAAGGCTTTCCTTTTAACTTAGTGCGTAAGAAATCTGTTGTAATTAAAATTGGCCTGGACAGTTCTGCATACGCCTGCCAACAGTAAATCTGTTAAAGGTCACTGACCAACCAATGTGCACAGTGCCAAGTCTTCGCATTTTGCCTCAGGTGAAGGAACCTACCCAACTACTTCAGATGTATTCTGTCTGAGCAACAAGGGCTGAGGTGTGACCAGTTCAGAAACATGACCTGTCACTCTTTCACGCATGCTTCCATCTTCCAAATTAAAGATCATGCACTCTCCCCTTTAACCTCCTTTGTATAATATAAGGAGTAACATACAATGATAAAAACATTGGCATTTTAAATTGCCTCATATTATGTTCCACCTTTGTGGTTTTATAACCAAGAATATTTTTTTCACTTGTAAGAAACAGAAATTCATAACAATTTCAACGTTAAATTATAAACAAAAAAATGCTACTAGGATGAGTATAGTAAAAAAAATGTCTAACTTATTGCTTTCAACAAGTTAAAAATATAATACCAAAAGAGTTTATATTACTCACCAGGATGGCCAAAATTATTTAGTTCATCTAAAATAAAATGAGAAAAAACAGATTAAATAATCTCTCAACTTAGCACAAACAAAATAAGACTAATAAAACTGATCTTAAATCACATGTTATTAATTTAGAACTTCTTAAATTAAATGAAGAAGCCATACAAATACTGAGAACACTGTTTTAGACTTCCAAGCTATTGTTGCGCTTACTAAATTATGAAAAGATAAACTCATTCATTATATGCTCCAAGTTTACTCTAGTCAATCAATTAAGGGACAAAAATGGCCAACAGATAGACCTGTCTGTGGCTTCAACTATTAACCTGTTGAAACTAATTAATAATCTCAATCTTTTGAATTTTAATTTTTTTTTTTGTCTTTTTTGAGGCAGGGTCTCGCTATGCACATCAGACTGGCCTTAAACTCACAACAACCCTCCTGCCTCAGCCTCCAAAGTCCTGGGATTACAGCCATGTGCCACCACACCTGGCTGTCAATCTTTTTTTAAAAAAAAACTTTAATTTTAGAACGTAAGATTAACAGAATTATTTCAGGATAGAGCAGAGGGTTCCGGTATATCCTAAACGGAATTTCCCTACTATCTTATGTTTATATGATATATTTATCATGACTAATGAACTGTTCAAATTCCTTTTTCAATGCAGGACTCTATTTAGGATACCACATGCATTTACTATGATTCCTTTGGTTCATCTTGATTATAACCGTTGCTTAGATATTCCTTGTTTTTCATGACCCTGACAGTTTATAGTAGTAACTGGTCAGATATTTTGTAGAATGTCCCTTAACTGGGATTTGTCTCATGTTTTCCTCATGGTTATTCATGGTTTCTCAAGATGTGATGTTCTTTAGAAACGTAGAGTGGTTTCAAATTTAACCTGAACTCTTTGTGGGTTTTCTTTTTTTTTGGTGCCGGGAATCACAAACAGGACCTTACTCTTGCCAAGCAGGTGCTTGTACCGCTGAGCTACATCCCTGACCCCCTGTGGGTTTTCTTACCATGGCTAAAGGACAGTTAAGCAATCCAAGTAAATATCAATGACATGACAGCTTCTATTTTTTCTTTACAAATTTTGTGACAATGAAAATAAACACTGACACTATATTGCCAAAGTTATACTACACATAAAGCATTACAGGGGAACTTTATATTCTCATTAATACCTGAGAGTCTAAGTGGCATCAACCAATGCAAGGGTTATGCACAATTTCCCCCACCTCTGGTATTACAGACGAGACTCACTTCCAGTTGCTTAGGTCAGCACTTTCTTCCACCTCTCTTCCATGAGGTTGTTTCATATATTTGTAACACACTTAAATGCTTCTGTCATATTCTGCACTCCATCTTGGCCCACCTTCTCACCTACTAATGATTTTTAAATTGTACATGTGTATTTACCGTTACGGTTATACAGACTAGCTTCAGAGTTTCCCTGAAACCCTCTGAACTTCACCTATTCAAGCTCATCCTGTCCTAAACCAAGACACTTTAACGAAACACAAAATATTCAATAGAGGGCGTTGTGTTCTGTAGGTTAAAGAAGAAATAAGATACTGTTCATAATACGTGTCAATCTACCTTCAATTTAAAAAAAATTCAGGGGCTGGGGATTTAGCTCAGTGGCAAAGCACCTGCCTGGCAAGTGCAAGGTCTTGAGTTCAATTCCCGGTACCAGAAGAAAAAAAAAAGAGTAAAAAAAATTCAATTTAAGTAGGTTTTTTTGAGAAAAAAGTTGCATCTGGTTTTTCTATTTGAAACTTTTGGATTAACTTTGTCACCAGACTTTCATCTCTCTGTTTCTCAATATTTATTTGAAAATTATTGTTTAAGGTTTTGCTACTCAAAAAAAAAAATCAGACAGTGAATCGTGTAGGTGTAGAAGCAGTATCATAGGCATCAATCTGAAGGCAAACAGTCGTGCTCACTTAATTTATTCTTAGAGGTCTCTATGTTAGGAAGTTTTAAAAACCATGCAGTTAGGCAAAAAGGATTAAGGAAAAAAAGAAAAATATATGTATATACAAGACAGTTAAGATTGTTACACAGCCAGTTTCTCTTAGTTCATTAAAAGGAAAGTTTTGTGCTAATATTGTTTTTTTTTTTTTTGGTTTTTCTCTGGTACCGGGAACTGAACTCACGACCTTGCGCTTGCCAGGTCGCTTTTGCCGCTGAGCTAAATCCCCAGCCCCTTTGTGCTAATATTGTATAGACAAGATATCATGACTGTATCTTCTACTCTGAAAAACTACTAAGAAGACAACAATACACAATGTTATCAACTATTGTAACTGTCCTAATAACCTGTTTTGAAACTTGGTTTCATTGTTATATTTATCTTTTTTTAAAAGGAAAGAACTGGGTTGGGGGAAAGGAAAAAAGGAATACACACAAGATAGCTAAGATAACTGTACTACTAATTTCTATTGGTTTATTGAAAGGAATAGTTAATCCTTAATTGATCAATCTTACATGCCTATATCTGGTAATCTGAGCAACTATTTTGAAGATAACAGTATGTAATATAAACAACCATTGTTAATTTCCTATCATCTTGTTTTCAAATTGTATCTTTTTTGTTTTTTACTCTCTTGAAGATAAAAGAAACAAAAAAGAAAATGTAATTGTTTTTATTAAAACTGTTTTGTCTATACATGATTATTTATTATTAAATAAATTAGTAAGTATTTAAAAAAACCATGCAATTAGGCAAAAAGGAGTAAGAGAGCTGGGTGTGGTGGCACAAGCCTATAATCCCAGCAATTGGGCTGCTGAGGGAGGAGGATCACCATGAGTTCAAGCCCACCTTGGGCTACATAGTGAGTTCAAAGCCAAAGGGAGACCCTGTCTCAAAAAAACCTCAAAACCAAATAACAAACAATAAAAGAGGGTAAGAGAGGAAGAGATGGTTGATCAAGATTTCTTCATATGGCTTTCCTCATGTAGAGTTAATAGATTGTGGGACTGGAGCTCTTTTATGTAACAATTTCCATTTACAACTATGTACCAGGAATTCTAGAATTTCCAAGTGACAATGCAGAGATATGAAGGAAAGGAAAACCAGGAAACAAGATTTAACAGTGTTTTCTTACTCAATCTAAGTAGAGCCTAAGGTTATACGAGTTTGAAGAGGCAGCAATTGAAAAAATACTTTGCTATTTATAAACTCATTTTGCAAACCAATGTGACATCACACTATGAGAAAGTGATGTAAGTTTAATATTTATCATTATATCATCATAATTTAAGTGCAATGCTTTGGTTATTTAAAAGAAGTTAGAAGTTTATATTGAAATAAATTTTCAGTTTTGTTTACACATTGTGGTAAGGGTGACATAGTAGATAAGTCTATAGCTTATCAGCTTCAAAACAGCCTTATTAATATTATTTTCAGAATACTTAATATTTGATAAAACATGTTAAACAATAAAGCTGTCCTGAAACTTAGAGAAACCATATTTGCATTTGAGGGGCATCTCAGGAGGAAAAGAATAATCTAAAAAATATCCACAGCTATTTATTGTATAAATTTATGAAGATAAAAATTAACTTTAAGAATCTTTAATGTTCATTATTCCAAGCATGTTGTTCATGAACTTTGCTTTTATGTGCGCTACAAACTGAACAGTACTTATATGAGTTGTGTGTCAGTTTAATAGTGTCTATGGCAATTTATAAAACTTCAAGACTTATGGCTAAACATCCTTCAACTGAAATAGTAGAGCTAGTATTTTTTCCATCACTGCACTCAGTAAGCTAGAGCACTCCACCGTTTCCCAGAGTAATCAGCATGCAGAGGCTTGTCTTGAACCAAAGAATTATACTACCTTCAGTGCACTCCACTGCCTCATCTGTTCTTCCTTGTTTCAGAGAAAACAAATTGAATATTATAATTCATGACCTTAGAAAGGGCAGCCATTAAGTGAACAGTGAGATAAACATCATAGAAATATGCTGGCAAACCAAACAACATGCATCAAAACCTCCTACTAGTAACAACATAATGATAAACATTAAATATAAGTAGAACAAACTTCTAAATCAAATCATACAGTTCATAATGGGGATTATTGGTTAATAATCATTTTTTCCTTTACATATAAGATGGTTGTTTTTAAAAATGTTTCATTAAAAACTTTTTTTACCAAATTAAATTTTTTGTAACCAAAGCTTTAAAGACTGTATTTTTGCCATAAATATTTAAAATAAATAAATAACATTCATTTAACATTCATTTTAGTGACCTAAATACGGCTTTTTCTTTCTCTTTCTGGTAAGGTATGAATTTAGTACGTGTTTTCTAAAATTTCTATGCAAATAATATAATTCCTGAACATACAAACAGTATGAGACCACAAAGTAAAATTTCCTTTGCTTATATATGTCAGTTTATATATACTGCACTTTGAAGAATACTGAGTAATAGTGCTTACCTACGATGATTTCTACCTTGATACTGTCTTGACTATCTTGATCATTATATACATGACACCAATAGGTTCCTTGATGTTCCAAATCTACATAAGGTACCTGTATCAGTATCAGAACACATACATATTTCTTCTTCAATTTTAATTTAAATCAGCCTAGAGAAAACTCATCTTGTATTCAAAAATTTTTCAAAACATAACATTTCAAGACTTTAGACATTCTTAGATATCCCCTTTCATCAAGCTACATATTAACAAGCAAATGATATGGTTCCAATATTAGTCAATCTGGAACAGTCAATCTATTATTTAACATTTTAAATATTGAATTCTAGTATTTTTGAAAATATGAGAATCAATTTTAAATTACAAGAGGCTTGAAATAAAAAATACTGAAAATACTAAAACACCCTGAAGAATTTAAGTTTAGTGTTCACTTTACATTTTAATCACACCATTTACTTTACATATCAATCCAAAAATATAGCCCCCAAATCAACTACTTACCATGTATACCTTTTTTGTCTCATGTGTTAGTGGTGATTCATTTTTGAACCACTGATACTGAGGAATAGGGGTTCCAATAGCAACACACTGTAAAACCAACGTGGTTCCTGGCATTAGCTTCTGGGACTTCGGTTCAACACAGATCTGCAACTTGGATTCAGAGATATCATCCCCATTTTCTTAAATTAAAAGAATAAAATCTTTAGGTTAAAAATAAAAAACAAATTTTCCTATAATTAAAAAAATTGAGGGGTAAAAAGTTTACCCCTCAATCTTTATAATCTTTCATCAAAATGTAGCATTCCTAGGAATATTAAGAAATGTTCTGTGGATAAAAGAATGCTTTTACATTCTTTTGGACAAGTTTACAAAATTCTGAGATAAAGTTAGCAGGCAGGCATATTCAAGAAAACAGAAGTAATGGGGAGAAACTAAGCTTGTGCATGAAGAGTGGGTAACAGGCCATGAAAGCTGGCAGGCTTGAGGGGTTGAGCAGCAGGGACCAGACTGAGAAGGTTCAATGTCATCTTAGGGATTTGCACGTGCACACTACCACAGATAGAGACAAAGCACACAGGATCAAATCTTAGTAACTAGAGATACTATATTGGGTAAAATACATACATGAAAGTTTGGTACAGATTTGCTACTCTGAAATTATTTTAAAGTAAACATTTAAAATAAGGTGATCTACCAATCAATATTAAATATCTTTTGTAACTTACTTCGGAAGGTTTCTGTTAATTCTGCCACTTCACAAACATCTAGCTGTGACCACTGGCTGAATTCAAATGTGGAATTATTATTAACACGACAGACATAAAAGCCTGCATCCTTTACACTCACTGTGTTAAAAACAAGTTCTGAGGCATTTCCATATGGAATCTGTGAAAGAATCAACAAAAGAACATAAATGAATAACATAAAACTTGCTGCACAAAGTATATGATATCAGTATAGAGCTTTGAAAGCATGCCTTTTATCCTTGTTCAAGTTCTAAAATATTGTTAAGAAAAAAATATTGTTAAAATATTAAGAAAGATGGTAACATCTGAGTTACTCAGAATTGAAGTATTAGAAATCTAGTTTTTTATAAACCCTTAACCAGAAAGGTAAGCCATCCCTCATACACTTTCTAGAAGTTCACAATAGAAAACCATTTGTTCTGTCATTGAAACAGTTCAGTCATTTGATGTTAAAAGGATCTATGCCTGCTACCTTTATGAGTTCTGTAGCATATAACACACCACAAATGCCTCAATGGTGTACAAACAGCACACAGAATTAGACTGGTGTTACTTTCAATTCTAAACTAAATTAACTATGAACACACATTTTACCTGAAAACTCCATTTTCTCATCAGCAAATTTCTATAAAAGGATGGAGTCCTTAACCAAACCATACCCAGCTTCTTTCAAGGTCTGGATGGAAAGGGGATAGTGAAAACATGTAAGAGATGGGAGGGAATAGCCATCCAACATCTCCCAAGCTTTGTGTACTAGCCTTCTGTCACCACAGTTAGATTTCTTTCCTCTTTGCTACTCCCAGCAATTTATCAGCTCCACCCAATGTGGACTCCCTGCCACGGGGCTTCCCCAAGTGACTCATTATTATACCCCCTTGCACGTGTAATACTTCAACAAGCTTGCAGCTCTCCATCTCCAAACCCTCAGCAACTGAACTCAACTCTGCTCTCAGTAGGGGCACAAGAAGGGAACTTCACTGAAGATGGGCCACCTGGGACAGCAGGGTGCCCTCAGCAGTGCTTAACATTTCATCATGTTATCCTGCTAAGTCTTCTTTCCTTAGTGTGATGGGAATTCTCTCCTCTTCCTGGCAGCAAGTCACAAATCTATCCTTGTCCACATCTACTTGTATCTGCATGCACAGGGCCCTGGGTTCAATCCCCAGCACCACAAAAAATAAAATAAATTAGCAGCTCTAATTTTAGCGGCTGGGGATGTGGCTCAATGGTAGAGCTCTTGCCTTGAACATCTATTTATAATTGTCCTTTTCCCTCTAGATAAGATGGAAGATCTATCTTCTAACAGAGGCTACTTGGGCAGAAGAGCTGTGGAAATCAGTTGAAAGACCAGAGCCGGTGTGACAACTGTATTAAACTGAAGGTGTCTGGAATTCAACAGGTGCAGAGACTTCTTGGGCTTCCCTCACTGACTATAAGAAGGAACTTCTAAGAAATGAGGCTGCCATAAATTCCCTGTTGCAGTGGCTTTTACTCTCAGGAAGAAGACCAGAAAAACCTACCATAAATCCCCTTTCTAGGGAGTTTTATGGCCATAAAAAGAGGAAAGAACCCAGCACCTACATAAACAAAGATTACCATAAACTGTCTTATACTCTCCTAGTTCTTCTATAAACCCCTTGTCTACCCTGAAGAAATCTATCTGATATTCCCATAGAAGCTTCTTCCCTCTTTGTTCTACTAAATTAGATACATGAGCCTCTAACAACTTAGCAAGTTACTTTTTTTGGTAGTGTATTCATACACTTCTTCTCTTGTTAAGCTATCTCATTTCAGTTAGTTCACAGGCCTCTAGCACTGAACATAAGAGCATGAAAGAAAAGCTTTTCCTTCCTGACAATTTCATCCTCTCTGACCTTGCTGCTGCAATTTTCTTGTTTCAGCATCTATTTTTTTCCCATTTACTCTATCACTGTCAAAATTATACTCTAATACTTTCTTAAATAACTCAAACAATCCTCTCTTGACCCCAGAACGCCTCTCAGCTGCACCAAGAAAGCTGGCCACTCCTTTCTTCTTCAAATTCTTTGTTTTATTCTTCCTGGTCTCTTTGTTATTCCCATACTTTTCTTCATTATATAACTCTCAATGTTATCTCCCCAGACATCCAAAGAGCTTAAGTGATTCATCTGGATGTGTAATACGCATGTCAACTTAACATATCTAAAACCAAACTCCCGATTTTCTCCCGAACTGTACTCCTCTCCAGCATTCTCAACATCTCAGTATAAGCAGGTCACAGATGCTCAAGTGGAAAGCCTTGAGGTCACCCTGGATTTCTCCTCCTTCCTTCTCATGCTTCACATCTAATTTGCCGGCTTGGCTAACTCCATTTCTGATACACATACTGAGGTATGCCTCAAATCTACCTTCACTGCTGTATCTGAGTGTAGCCCTCAGCTCTAGTCAAGCCAAGCATTAGATGTCCATCTGTTCTTCTTGCTGTTCTCCACTTCCTTCAAGTACCAAGCTTGTTAAAAATATAATCCTAGGCTGTGGATATAGCTCAGTGGCACAGTGCCTGCCTAGCAAGCACAAGGTCCTAAGTTCGATTCCTGGTATCCCCCCCAAAAAATCCTATCATGTTACTTCCTTTGCTTAGAAACTTTAGTGGCTTCTCACTTTCTATTACCAACCTGTTCATTTTCTTCCTAACTCTTAAGTTACCAAAATGATTATTGAATACTTCAGCAATAACAACATCTAATAGACTCTTTAACCCAATTCCTAAAATCACACTTAGGAAAATAACTTTAACTAATTTGCTAGTTTTCTCTCTTCTTATATCAGAGAAATTAAAAGACATTAAAAATTACCTCTTTATTCATTTTGAACCACTGATATTGTACAAAAGGATGTCCAGTTGCCCGGCAACATAGTTTCACAAACTGTCCAGCCAACACTGCCTTTGATTCTGGGTTTATAGTGATCTTTATTCCTTTTAAAAAAAGTTAAATATAGTCATAAGAGTGAGGTTTTTCTTATTTATAAATCTGAAACAAAAATAAATATTTTGGAAATAATTTGCATAATTATCTTTGTCACAAATCACCCATTTATAGCTCTTTCTCTATCAGTTAATGAGCTTGCAAGGCTTTGATCTACTCCTGAGTGACTGGGGGAAAATTACTTGCCATATTTCTTCAATTCCTAGAGACACTTTGCCTCGACATTCTAACACTGGTGAAATCAGGGTGCACTTCACAACAGATGGCTCCAGGCAATGGTCATATCTCAGGGATAGCTTATATATATATATATATATATATAATATATATGACCTGATATATATATCAGGTCATAAATACTCATTTGGTTGGTACTTCAATTAAATTGGGCACACTATTTATAGTATAAGCATTAAATTTAAATGCCTATTATGGTCTGAATCTGTTGCCCAAAATTCATGTGTTGGAAGTAAAATCCTCAATACAGCAGTATTGGAAAGTGTTTAAGTCACAGAGGTTCTGCACTAATAAATACATTAATGCCATTATAAAAAGTGTCCATGGGAGCAGGGTCATTCTCTTCTGCTTTTCTCTTGTGGAACGAAGAATAGTCATCCCTGCTTGCCCTGTCACCTTGTACCATGTGAGGATACAGCAACAAGGCCCTCTTCACATACCAATGTCTTGAGACTTGGCTCTCCAAGCCTCTAGGACCATGAAAAATAAATTTTTGTTCTCTATAAATTACCCAGTCTGAAGCATTCTACGATAGCAGTAGAAAACAGACAAAGACAGTGTCACTGAAATGCCATGAAACGACTGTATTAAGGTTTAGTATTGAGACCCACTTTGGAAGCAGAAAGCACAGAGAACCAACAGTAAGATTTTTTTTTTTTTGTTTGTTTGTTTTTCTTTGGGTGCCGGGAATTGAACCCAAGACCTTGCGCTTGCCAGGCAGGCACTGTGCCACTGAGCTAAATCCCCAGCCCCAACAACAGTAAGATATTAACTTGATATTTGTGACACAAATACTCATATAAGGAATGAATACCAGCACTGAAACCTGGAAAATTGTTAAGAGCTTGGAAGACAATCCTGAATCAACAACAGAACCACCCCAACCCATACTTCTTCCTCTATCTCACTCCCATAAAGCATACACTGCCATCTTGGAAGGATCCTCAGGCAGCTCTGTGGAGAGGCCAAAGTGGTAAGGAGACTCTTAGGCTTCTGGTCAACAGTCAGGGAGGAAGTGAGGTCTCTTGAGAACAGCTGCATTAGTGAGGCATCTGAAAAGAGGGTATTCCAGCTCTAGCTAAACCTTCAGTGATGGGAGCCTTGCCCAACAGGTTGACTGACATTTCATGAGAGACCCTAACCTGAATTCAGGATCAGAACTCATGTGATCAGAACTCATGTGTATTAGGATCAGAACTCATGTGATAATAAACGGATTTTGTGTTAAGCTTGGCTTTGGGATAATTTATTATGCAGTTATCCCTGAATGCTTCTACCTCCTTTCTCATTTTACATGTGTATTTTATCTGTAAATCCTGTCCATTAAGCTTTTCCACGTCTCACCACCTTCAGTGCCAAGATCTTAATCCAAGCTACCATCTGCTCTACAATGTGTATTCATTCTTAAGGCATGTTCACTTGTTTCCTTGCTTCCAACCACTAGTGTAAATGTCTTTTTAAAACAAAAATTAATTTGTATCTCTTCTGTGATTAAAACCCTTGAATACTTGCCCTCTGTACCTGGAATAAATCCAGCTCTTTACCATGGATCACAAGGCCCCACATCAGCTGAGCTTTCCTCATCCCTTTGTGTCTTCCCTCTTGTCCACCATGTTCCAGCCACAAGGGTCCTCCTTTCTCTCACAAGCTAAGCAAACTTCTGCCTTTTTATTTGCCAGTCCTCTGCTGGGCTCCCCACCCAGATCCCCAGGGTTTCAAGGCAAGCTTTTTCCTTTCTCAGCATTCAGGTTTCTCAGTAAAATATCACTAGCTTCTCTGGGAAATATCTCAAAATTAGCTACTCTCCCATGGTTTTCTTTTACTTTTAGCTTCCTCTGTGTCCTTCGCTGTACTAGTCACTATCTGAAATCCCCTTTCATACTGCCTGACTTACCTACTAAAATAGAAGCTCTGTGCGAGTAAGAGCCATGTTTGCTTAGGACCAACACAGAGGATAGTACCTGGTGGTATATGGTGATACAGTCCATGTTTAACATGTAGCTATTAGATGACTGTGCACACTATAAATTAGTACAGTCACAGTTTACAGTCTTATATCCATGAGGCATTTTTCTCTCTAATCTTCAAAATAACCATACAAGGGATGAATCAAATCTACATTACAATAGGAAAAGTAATTTGCAGAAGGTCACTCAAAATAGCTTGAGTAAATTATTTAACTGCTCTTCTCTAAAGGATTATTTTTTTCCCACTGTAAACATGGCAGAACCAGGATGCAAACTTAGCTTTTCTTGACTTTAAAAACGATGCTGTAGCTATCCCACTCATTCTTACAGTTACCTCTGCGTTAATCCCACTTCTTCCATAGTAAATTTATTTACTGAAGGAAACATGTTAGGTAGAAAACAATTTTGCACCATAACACTATTCACAAATTTATCATGGCAAATATTCTCTGCCAGTATAAAAAGAAACAAGAATTACATAAATTTAAAGACTTTCTCTCTATAGACTCTCACAATGGAATGAATGACTTTATTGGGAGAAGATAACATGGCCAAGATGTTCCAAAAGGTATGCTTCTTTGTGAGGGACAAAGACTAATGACCTTTAATGTGCATTCTATCTTATTTTATAAATATACCCTATATCAACAACTTTAGCCAACCAGTCTTCAATAAACAAATATATATGTTTTTACTTGCTCCTCTAGACTGCGCATTGAATGATTTGGAAACTGCCCCCGGTGAGAAGTCACAACACCTCCAATTTTAACCATATTTTCTTCTTCCACATATCCTTGAGTGACAGGAAACCCTTGGCCACTCTTAGGCACTGCCCACTAGTCAGAAGGTACTGAACAAACATTAGGAAAAAATATGGTACAGTGCTATGGAGTATGTACCAATGCACACAAATGAAAGTTTTATTTCACATGATGAAAACATAGTTTCCTGTCAAACAAGCATATTTTCAGATAACATCTGCAAAGAAATCAAGAGAAGTTACTTGATTTCCTGTTAGCCTGGGAGAATGTGATTAGGTATGGTGGGACTAAGGATTGTGCTGTCAACACATGTGTGCATGTACACACACACACAGATACCTGACAGTAAGCAATAAAACAAAATTTAAAACACTGTTGGAATTACAAGATAAGGTAAATTAGGATGATTCTTGATTTGACAAAAGGATTCATCACAGGTTCCCTTTAAGTTATTCTCACTCACAATGCATTTAAATATTGATTTAATTCAAACACATTTTCAAAAAAACAGATCTATTAAATATATTGAGGTGTTTCTACTTAAAAGTCACTTTTTCTCTTTAGCTTCCATTTACAATGTGCCTCTCAAAGTTATTCTTAAGTTTTCTAAGTTCTCACTGAGAAGCAGCTATGTGCCCTACAGTATCCTAGAATAAACACTCTTCCTTTCCTTCCAGTACTCTCCTTCCCATTATACAGCCAATGTATGTCCCTGTAGTCTTTTACAAGTCAATTTATATTGCATCCACTGTGGCTGTATCTAATGTCCCACATCACATCCCGTGTCCTGCTACACTGTCCAAGATTGAACACTGAACATGCAAACACACATTCTTTCAGGCTGCATTTATCTGTCTCTTTCTGTTTCTAATTTTTCCTTGTTGTTATTCCACCCATACCATCATTTTCTCTTTTTCAAATCCTGGTATTTTCTTTTTTTGTTTTGTTTTATTTTTTGGTACTGAAAATTGAACTCAGGGCCTTGCGCTTGCCGGGCGGGCAGGCACTGAACTGCTGAGCTACATTCCCAGCCCCGTGCTATTTTCTTTTTGGGAAAAATTGTCAATTTTCTGATCTCCATGAAACACGGAAAGTCCCTTATAAATATTATATTTGAGTACTTTTCAGCTTATCAAGAAGGAAAACACTGAAATATATGCATCAAAGAAGCAGCTGACTTAATAACCTATAACTCAATTTCTCAAACAACCTAGAAATTTTCTATCTTTTTTTGTCTTGCACTGTTGAGGACTGAACACAGTATCCTGTGCATGCTAGACAAGGCCTCTACCAAGGAGCTACATCCTAGCCTATTGTTATCACCATCATCATCATCATCATCACCATCATCATTCTGAGATAGGACCTGGCTAATTTGTGTAAGCTATTTCAAATGTTTTATTTTCCTGCCTCAGCCTTGTGAGTAGCTAGAGCTGTAAGAGTGTACCACCACTCCTGTCTTCGTTATTTTTTTCTCGTTGCTGGGACAAAATACCTGACACCCAAAATTAAGGAAGGAAAGGTTTATTTCGCTTACGGTCTGTGGAGGTTTTAGTCCATACTTGGCAGATTACAAGGCAGAGTGGCACATGGCAGAGGGCTACAACTCATGGTGGCAGAACACAGCAAAAGCAACAAGCACTAAAAGGGAGGAATGGCCACAAGCAGCCTCTTCCTCTCCCTTACATACATATGTAAACTATCCACCCCAGGGCAGGTGTAGCTCTCACACCTATAATCAATCAAACTCTAAAAGCCTGTCCCATGGCCACATGAGGCTTTGGGGGGACACACAGACACAAACCATAACAGCTCCTGACTAGACTTGGCTTTTAATCCCAATTTGGTCATTAACTGTGACTTTGGCTGAATGATAACTTCTGGAAAAGCTGATTTTCCACATAAATATTTGCTAGTAAAATGTAAATGTTCACAGTTCACAAAAGAATGAAGATACGAAGTAAAGGTATTTTGGAAACAAAAGAATAATATTTAATAGTCTTTTCACTGATCTTAAGAGATAGA